TCCAAACGGCCTGTATGTGTCTTGTAACTCTTGGGTCAAAGATGGGATTACCTAAATAAAATCATAATCATGATTTGAGAAATGATTAAATGGATTAAAATGCATGATTAGTCATGGTGAATATGAAATATGAATGTATTATATGGTTAATGAATAAGAGATTAATTTGTGGATTAATCATGGATATTTTATTGTCAAATGTATAAAAATGCATACTTGGACTATGTATGAGACTAACTAGAGTAATATAGTATGTGAGTATGTATAAAAATGTTTAAAAGTGTTAAACATGTGATTAACCATATTGATTATAAATTAAGTGAAAGTGGCATGATTAATGAGTAAAGAATTACTAATATTATTGATGAAGAATAATCATGAATGATTATTTGGGGAAGGACTAAGGAAATTCAAGATGATATTCTTGTGAAGGATTCAAGTATTAAATCATGCAAGTCACTAAAGTAAAATCTAGTTTATGAGAAATAAACTAGGGAATTATACAAGATATAATTAACTAAAATAAATGTTTTTGTTGGCTCATATGAGAAATGACCAAAGTAAATTCACGTACTATTCTCGTGAAGAATTAAGACATGCTTAAGTATACATGCTACTAAGATGAACTAGTTTATGAGAAATAAACTAGGGTAATATACAAAAATGATTAACTAGTATCAATGACTTAGTTAATAATTTTGTGAATATAATATTTTAATTGAATGATGAACCATGAATGACTCATTTTGTGAGGTGATTAAAGGTAGTTCAAGGTGATATCCTTGTGAGGAATAAAAAAATGTTTAATCATGCAAGTTATCAAGGTGAACTAGTTTATGGAAGATAAACTAGAATAATTTACATGGGAATGATTGGAAATATATATATATATATATATATATATATATATATATAATATATAAGAAATATTATGGGTGACCAAAATGGCATATTTTGATTGTTTATGACTTAATACATGTTGTGTTAAAATTTCAGATCAATCGGAGTTGAAATGGCGAGTCAACGAAAAATGTTGACCGGTTGCCCAGGGGGTAACCGGCGCCGGTTATGGTACTGCGTCCCGGTTTATTAAATAAATCAGTAAACCGGCACCGGTTATGGGTAAAACCGGCGCCGGTTATGCTACGGGTTTCGGTACCCGTTTTTGCCGAAACGTGTATCTGAGCCCAGTTCGACGTGAGATTAATACTGGATCCTATATATGAATATTTTGCATGGAATTGCATGGAATATGATGTTTAAATGCTAAGGATTGATATATGATGATTTAATACTAAGTCTTGGATTAGTCGTTAGTAATGATATGATATAGACCTTATCTAGGATGATATGTGGTAGATCATAAGAAATGGTGAAGTACCCAAGGACTGGTCTGTCCTCAAAACTCGGGATATTGTTGGGGGAGCACCCAGGGACTGGTCTGTCCTCAAAACTCGGAATATTATTGGTGGAGTACCCAGGGACTGGACAGTCCTCAAAACTTGATATGTATAAAATTGATGGAGAACCCAGGGACTGGACTGTCCCCAAAACTCGGAATATTATTGGTGGAGTACCCAGGGACTGAACGGTCCTCAAAACTCGAAGTTTACAGTTAGAAATTCAGGACCGGGCGGTGTCCTTAAAATATTTCTCTTGGCGGGGTTAGCCCCTATAATGTATACTAAGATGAAAAAGACGAGTAGTCCTCGAGGTAGGTAAACCTCATGGTAATGATTTTAAATGATTAAACATGTTTGATAGGGAACGAGCTCCCGATAGGATATTTTCCTTGGTCTAGGAATTTGGCGGGAAGAAAGCCAACCTTTCCACTATGGTATGTATATAGAAAGATTTGTGATATGCCCACTCTCTAGATTATTTTTTTAAAGTGAATGTGATTATTATATGTTTTTTTCATATATGGACTCAAGTGATGGAATCGGAATAATAAAAGATCCATTTGAACTTTTCCCAAAAATGTGATTATTGGCTGAAATTGGTTCTCAGTTTCTATGTTTTTTTTAAATGTAACCAATTTAAAGTAGAACAACAAAGTTTAAGTTCACTAACACACTAAACAAACGTTAAGTTCACTTACTTCGATGTTAAAATTCAAATCAAAATGCGCTTAAATTTTCTCAGATATGATATAATACTCGTAAGCATCATCGGACGGTGGGAGATGAGCTTGTTAGTTGTTTTCATCGTCATACCCCAAAGAATGAGCAATCTATTGTTACGATTAGAATTTTAAGCTCAATTGGGATTTGGGATTACTAAGGGTCTGGGAGAGCATTATTTCGGTGCCAGCTAGAGATTTTTCAACTAATTTGATAGAACTTTGATTATATCACTTCTTTGTAATAAATGTTTTAACAAAAACCTAACGTCTGAGGCAGAGAGATGATTACCGAGACTAGCTTTAACAGAACGTAGATGGCTATAATGGGATATGTGTATGATGTACAATTATTAAAACTTCATGTACAACTACCGGTTGCTTTAATTCACACGACACATTTCTCATAATAAGTATACCCTTACTCCTATTGGAGTTTATAAGATTTTATATTACCACATAATGGTTTATTATAATATTTTTTTACTTAGACCTCCTTCAAGTAGGAATAACCACCCACTTGTGGATGAATAATCCTCTTGATTAGTTATCCAACTTGCATCTGTATAACCTTCTAATACAAAAGGTTCACTCTTGTAACATAAGCCGTAGCTTATTGTTTTCTTTAGATATTTCATCACTCGCCTCAAGGCTTGCCAAGGAAATATACTAGGGTAACTAGTATATCTACTTATCTTGCCTACCGCAAATGCAATATCTGGTCGGGTGCTAGTCATTGCATACATCAAACACCCAATCACCCTAGCATGTTCAAGATGTGATACCAGTGCCGATCCTATCAAAACTCGAGCCTGAGTCGAACTTCATAAAAGGCCATATACATTATAATTTTTTGTACTATAATTTTCTTTGAAGTTGAAGATTAAACAACATAAAAACGACCTATTAAATAAAAATTACATTAATGTTAACGTATATAACTAATTAAGTACAACTCATTGGACAATTTAAGATGCAAAAGTATTAATTAAGTCGGCATAATCTAGATGTTCAATAAATTCCTTCTCAATAGATACCATAGTTGGAGGTGCTATTTGGAGTGGCTCTTTTGTTCGAAATTAAGTACTTATTAATATTTCCATCATGACTTTGAATTTATGAATTACTACATGATTTCCTTTCCCTCTTTTGAAACTCAGACATGGATTTTGGAGGCATGATACTAGAAAAAAAAACATGATTAATTCAGTCAAAACCTCTCGGGTGGGTTAATTAGATCATATACACAATAGTAAAAGCTTTCATACTCCATATGATTATTGATCGATTATTAATCAAATCCATTCTTCACCTATCCAGTTCTCAAGTTTCCAACACAAAAAATCACAATTCACATAATCGGATATTCACAATCACAAAATCAAACATATTTGTATTTTGGTAGCTATAAATCCTTTTAAGGCCTTAAATATAAAAATATTAGAAAATCAAGCTAAGAAAAAAAGATGAAAGATTAAACTTGACACTTAATATTCACTTTTGCTCTGTTGTTGATCGATTAGTCAAGGCTGGAATAAGGGAATAGAAAATCTCCTTTTTTTACTTCAGGGAATAGCAAATCTCCTTAACCTCCTTTTTCTTCTATGGGTGGATTGTCCCGTCTGTGCACTGATGGAGGGTTACACTTCTAAACTTGCCGCCTTAATTAAATTGGTAATTGGGGACTTTCGGGTTTTTCTTTTTCAAGCGCGCAGTTCAGGAGTGGAAAAAGGGCAAAGGAAGCCAATATGTAAATAAAATACACATATATATACTATAGAAATATCTAGAATTTTGGGCCCTAAAATTTTAACATTTTCTTGGCCCTGAGGCAAGTGCCTCATCTGCCTCACAGTAGGCACGGCTCTGTGTGATACAGTGCTCCCACTATTTGGAACTAATTTCCAACTAGGATGCATGGAAGTGGAAACCGGTGAACAATCCAAACTCCCAAATCTTTTCAACACTTTCTCTATATAATGAGATTGTGTTAAGGTGATAGTATCACCTTGCTTAATTATCCTAATTCCAAGGATAACTTCCGCTTCACCCATATCTTTCATGGAGAAGTTTGAACAGAGGAAAGTTTTTGTCTCTTTCACTTGCCTCAAATCAGTGCCAAATATGAGCATATCATCCACATATAGACAAATAATGACACCATTTCCATGCTCATTAGATTTGCTATATACGCACTTGTCTGATTGGTTTATTTTAAAACCATTTTCAGCACCACCTCATCAAACCTTTGATTCCATTGTTTAGGCCCGCCAAGCACTTACTCCGTCAATAAATCAAATTCTCAACCAGTTTGTACCAATTCCTATCAAACATATACTAACTGTATCCAACTTACCTAGTGCAGTTATTAATATCATTAATAGGAAAATTGCAGATTGCTTTTGGGGATTTAAGGAGAATAGGCCTAAATATCATTGGGCCAGCCTAAAAAGGTTGTGTAAACCTACTGAAGTGGGAGGGATTGGTATTAGGTCCATTCAGGATATTCATAAGGTTTCAGCAATCGAGAATTGGTGGAGCTTTCACAGAGAAAATTCAATTTGGACCCAAATTATGAAGGCTAAATATGGTAGCCGTGCTTAGGTTATGATAAAGCCTACGGATTCCCCTACCTGGAGGAGAATCGGCCATATTAATGAAGAGGCTGAAAGTATGGTGGTCAGGGGAGGGGGCATAATCTGCTCACTTGGAAGCATACACCAGATGGGTTTTTTCCAACTAAATCAGCTTACTTAGCATTATGGCCCGGGGGGGTATCTACTACAAACATATGGCAAAAAAAAAAAAACAGGTGCCCAAGATTAGAATTTTTGTGGAAGTTGTGGAACAATTGCTTGCCATTCCCGGATAGACTGACCTCTTTTTCAGTTGCATATCCATCCAGGTGTCCTCTCTGTAGATGTGTTGGTGCAGATTCGGATCATGTACTGCTATCTTGTCTCGTGGCTCAATCAATTTGGAACTTTTATGAAAGCTCTCTGTTATATAACGGAAGAAAGGTCAGCCAAATCAAACTTTAAATTATGAAATGGTGGATTTTGGAGAAAAGAAAAAATTTGGATGGGATTTTCAAACTTATCTTGCCAGGGGTGATTACTTGGCATTTGTGGAAATGTTACTGGGATGCGTTATGAAATGGCAAAACACCTGCGAAAGAGGAAATTATTCAGGGTATTGGAGAATTTATGCTTTCTTGGTGTTATGCTCACAATGAACTTGACGGTGGGGATCTATTGAAGGAGAAAGGGTTGTTACCTCAGTCATTTGCTCGGAAAAGCCTAAGGTCTGCAGATGGATGAAGCCGGCGAGAGGTGTGCTGAAGCTCAACTGGGAGGTGTTCCGTCAAAATGGCAAATCTTCGGCGGGCTTCTTGCTAAGGGACCATTCTGGATCTCCGGTAGCTGCCCAAGGCTTTCCTCTCCATGGATCGACAGATGTGGAAGGGGAGGTGTGCCGACAAGCTATAAGGTGGGTGGAGATGTTTCAGGTGAAATGTTTGGAAGTGGATGTGGTTGGTTTGAAGATGTTGGAATATTGTGTTTCCTATGCTTCAAAAAATGGGCTTGGTGGTGGGCTGGGTCTTGAATGGATGGAAATTCCGGCTCAAACCAATAAGGCCGTTTGGTGGGTTGCAAATTTGGTCTCTGAGGGCCTGTATACATGGAATATAGGAGACCATTTGCATAGGGGGCTTCATGGGGCTATAAAATTAGATTTATTTACTCTTTATGTGTATTGTTAGTCTTTCAGATTTGGTTTGCTTTTCAAATCTCATTTGCTGGTTTCTTTTTTTGGTTGGAAGCGAATGCCCTTCGGAGAGGTTCTGGTCTGGCCCCCCTCTCAGCATGCAGTCTCTTTTCTTTGATGCTGTAATATCCTATAAATGTTCCCCAGCATTTACCTCACTTATTTTGGTGGTTTACCTACCGAGTTAAAAAAATATATATCAAGTAAATGTTGGGTTCTTATTGATGTGTTGCACTTAGGAGGAGTTCTCACATACTTATTTATTATTAGTTATATTGGTGTGTTGTACTCTTTTTCCCTTTTGACCAAGGTTTATTTATTCTCATTGGGTTTTGTTACTTGATAACGTTTTTAATGAGACAACATAATATGCATCATCCCACATTTTACTTTTGCAAAAGTAAAACAATGTTGAAGAAAAAGAACATAATTACTATATCACAATCAAAAGTAATTGGTGTGTATTTAGTAGTCTATCATACTATCTTCTCCCTTTGACCAATGTTTATTTTTCCCATTGAGTGTTGTTCATTGGCAATGTTTTAGCAAGTTAATAATTTTTACACCTATCACCTTACGCTCGGCACACAAGGGGAGAATTAAAGGAATTATATTCCTCTATTCGTGTGTCTTCATTATGGTAATTAATGTAAAAGTATTTGAATGCACAGACTATCGAAAATATCCTTGATTAGTGTTAATATTAAGGGAAAGTGTAGGCGTGAGGGGGAGTCTCCCACCTACACTACTTTACACTCTTTACCTTTAACCAACTTTTATTTTTCCCACTGGGTTTTGTTACTTGGTAAGGTTTTTAATGCGTTAATGATACATATATACTTTATTGATCGAAGCAATGATCAAATAAGAATAGACTTAACGAAAACGTTTATCATAATGCTATACTCTTTATCCTCTGGTCAACTTAGCACAAGGGAGAATGTTTAAGGAAATTCTATACAATGTGCTGTCGTCGAAATAGAATATTTTTAGGGTCACCTTATGTAAACTATGTATTATGAGCCTATTGGCCCGTCCTTGTAAACCCTTTTAACTCCCTATAAATAGGGCACTCGGTAATGGAACTCTACGAACAATTCTCCCTACAACACAAATTTCATTTTGGCTAGCCCCACATATGTTTTTTACTCCGCCACCCAACATGTATAGTGCATGTCTTTTTCAACTGTTCATTGAAAGGGATAATATGTAATGCTACATAGTAAAAATGTACTCCATATCCTTAAGAAATTTATCTGTTGTAGTTACTTTGTATGGAGTACAAAGTACTTTTATTAAAAAGTCTAATCACATGGTATCCAACCAATATGAGTTTAAAAGGATATATTTGACCTATAAGTTTGGAGAAAAAGCGTTGCATGAGCCAATAAGTGGGATATTACACAATGGACAAAACACGCTATTAAATGAGTTTGAATTGCAAACTCGATTCACATATTGACCCGCGACATTTGGCGGGAAGAAAGTCAACCTTTCCACTCTGGTATGTATATAGAAAGATTTGTGATATGCCCACTCTCTAGATTGTTTTTTTAAAGTGAATGTGATTATTATATGTTTTTTTTTCATATATGGACTCAAGTGATGGAATCGAAATAATAAAAGATCCATTTGAACTTTTCCCAAAAATGTGATTATTGGCTGAAATTGGTTCTCAGTTTCTATGTTTTTTTTAAATGTAACCAATTTAAAGTAGAACAGCAAAGTTTAAGTTCACTAACGCACTAAACAAACGTTAAGTTCACTTACTTCGATGTTAAAATTCAAATCAAAATGCGCTTAAATTTTCTCAGATATGATATAATACTCGTAAGCATCATCGGACGGTGGGAGATGAGCTTGTTAGTTGTTTTCATCGTCATACCCAAAGAATGAGCAATCTATTGTTACGATTAGAATTTTAAGCTCAACTGGGATTTGGGATTACTAGGGGTCTGGGAGAGCATCATTTCGGTGCCAGCTAGAGACTTTTCAACTAATTTGATAGAACTTTGATTATATCACTTCTTTGTAATAAATGTTTTAACAAAAACCTAACGTCTGAGGCAGAGAGATGATTACCGAGACTAACTTTAACAGAACGTAGATGGCAACAATGGGATATATGTATGATGTACAACTACCGGTTGCTTTAATTCACACGACACATTTCTCATAATTAGTATACCCTTACTCCTATCGGAGTTTATAAGATTTTATATTACTACATAATGGTTTATTATAATATTTTTTTTACTTGGACTTGTATTAGAAAGGTCAAATAGATTCTATTGAACAGATCCTCTATTTACATAGGACCGGCCCTAGGTGTAACTCAGGGTGAACATCAATCATTATTGATAAAACTAATGCTACAGGTATTTATTATAGGAGATGATCGAATTCGTGTGTCAAAAGTTCTACTTTATTCGAAGTATTAAACCTCAAAACCTACTTATGCTACTTATGTTGGGAATCCTTGTGTGAAAAAATCCAATTCATGGTTGCAGTTTTCAATCTCATCGAGCCTCACAAATCCAATTTAAGCTCACGACTTGTTCATACAATTTGAAAGAAACGCGTAAACTATATATATCATGGAGAAGCTTAGTGATGATTGATGAAGTACGTTTTTGGAGAAGCTTTGGTGCAATGGAGACAATGGATTGTTATTTGTCAATAAAGATGAAATTACGATGGACATAACTGCATAGGATGGAAGATGACACGAGAAACCGATGAAGCCGCTCCTCGAAAACAGGGTTCTTAATTTTAAAATGTGAGGGTTTCACATGGTTTTTCATTTTTACCGGGTGATGAGACGTCCGGGTTCATTACGGGTTCAAACGGCTCACCGGGGTCCGGGTAGACTCTCGGGTTTCGGGTTGACCTGCCCGATCCAGATCTATTAACACCACTTATTTAGTCCTATTTTTGAAAACTCAAAAAGTGATTTCATTTTTGTCAATGAATTATATTTAGTAATATTAATTCTTGTAAAAGAAACCCTAAAGTTGATTAAATGCAGAAAAAAGAAATGAGAAAAATAATTCAAATATCCGAAACTTTGAAGGGGTGTGAGGTAAATACCCCAAACTTGCAGGTGTAATTTAAATATCACAAACTTTATATAAAGAGTTATTTTAGCACCATATTAGATATACCATATAAATTTAAAATTTATGGTCATATATTTTATGGTGAAAATGATATGTTCATGGTGCTAACATAACTCCTTATATAAGGTTCAAGGTATTGAAATTACATGTACAAGTTTGGGGTGTTTATCTCACACCCATTCAAATTTTGGTGCATTTTCATTATTTCCCCCCAAAAGAAAACAAAATAGAAAACATTTTCTTTTTTGAGAAAAAATAAGATAAAGGTATAAGTTATTAAATTTAGAGTGCAGACAAAAGAGAACATTTTTTAAGAAGATTAGAGAAGTTAAAGTCCATTACTACCAGCGGGCTTAATGTGCTGGGCCGGAACTCTCTGGGCCTTTATTTAGACGGCTAAAGTTAACTAAGGATCATCCCTTTCTTTAGTCCTTTACATATTCAGTACATCTCCTTCTCCCACACCGGTAGCCGAAGCAGCTACTGCAAACTACATATACGGAGGACTCTGAGAGCAGTGTGTCCCTTCGGGGACATCCGATAAAATTGGAACCATACAGAGAAGATTAGCATGGCCCCTGCGCAAGGATGACACGCACAAATCGAGAAATGGTCCAAATTTTTTTTGCCTCTTCACCTTTTTGCTCGCTGCTCGGCTTCTGCTGCGGGTTTGAAGTTGCTACCTAGTACAATGTTTTGTTCTTCCTGATTCTCATTCGAAATCGGCTCTGTGAGTAACGTAGTTAGGTCTTTTTTATATAAAGAAGAACTGAATTAGGGTTGTTAATTCTCATGCTATGTTGTTCAAATATATTGCTAATTCTCTATAAATATATGCGAACTAAGGAATCTAAGCTCAATTTTACCATCACATACTCGTGTGGCAAGGCTGTGAGAAGCTGGTTTATGTGGATAATCGTGTCAAGGGCATTACTTTGGACTTTGAAGTCATCTCTTATTTGTTTCAAGTCAGTTACAATCTTATTTATGCACTCTTATTTTATAGATAACAGGGGCAGGTCTTACAATCCCAGCTGAAATTGTTGTTAGCTAGTTCTCTTCATAGATCATGTAGTGTTAGCAGGTCTTCTTCTTTTCAGATAAATGAGCTGTTTTTCTTTCAATGTTATATACATTGTTTTATTCCCTTCTTATTTTTTGGTCAGATATTTTCACATGTTATTAAAATCCGAGTCCTGATTCCGGTCGGTTTTAGTAAGAAGTCGAACAAAGTGAGGGAATGTGGAAAGAGCACGGCAGCCAGCTTCCCACCCGTCATTTGCAGCAAGCTTTTCCTAGGTGTGACAAATGCATGACGAGTTTTTTTCGTTAAGGAGATAAAATCTGTTGCGCTGTCATAGTAAATAATAGATGAAGCGGGTTGCATTTTGATGGTCACGTGTTGTATTTGAAACTTCTCCCCCACTCGAAATTATAAATAAGTTTGCCCATAGTCTTTGTTTGGCACATCAAAGAATGTCGGTCCACGCATGTGAGGACGTGTCTTGGATGTAATAATATCAATGACTGAATATGAAGTCCAGCTAATGGCTTAAGCTTTTCGTTGCGATGGAGCCTCATTGATAGGTCATCCTATAGCTGACCCAGAGCATGCAACTGTGCTTATTTTAGTCCGGAGTAAGACCAAA